ACAGTTAAATATTTTGTTTTTATTTTAAAAATAAAATCATACTTAACAGAGTGTTCGGCAACTTTCCTTCCTCAATTAATATATCTTAGATATTTTTTCATGTCAATCTATATAAATTTTCCAATTCTTGTAATGGCTGCATAGTGTCTGTTCTATGAATATACTCTAAGTACAGTATCAATTTATAGGCATTTGGATTGAATACAGTTTTTCACCATTATGGACAAAGCTGCAACGTCTGATTTTGCACATGCCTATCTTTGCACTCTGGTGCTAGCATCTCAGTGAGACATCGTCCCTAAAAAGGAGAACTGCTAATAGGAACCTTCTAAACATTTACAGAGACTGTCATATGTCCCTTAAAAGGACCATCTTGTCACAAGTACATTTTTAAGTCAGATGATTAGGAATTAGAATAAATTCTTTCAAATAATAGAAATGTGTATATTATCTAAACTTAATGACTTCTCTTCAATTTCCAGCAAGTCAGGCCAAGGAATATTTTTTTCCTAAGTAATGGGTAATTGTGTTCAGATCAAATAAATATAACCTTTTAAATCTTGGGACAAGTATATTGAAAATATTTATAACTGATGTATAAGAGTGGGAATGAGAAATATGACATCATTGGGAAATATGACATCATTTATCATTTTTCAAAGAGAGAAAAAACATTAGAACAATTAATAACTAAGGTTCTAGAGTCAGGCCAACTCAACCATTCACTCAACACATATTTATTGAGCATCCACTCTCTGTTCTAGGTGTGGGATATATGGGTGAACAAGACAAAGAAGACCCCTCTGTTCCCATGTACTGTACATTAGAGTCATGGAGATAAAAGTTAATTAATTGATAGAATAATTTCAAAACATGATAACCAGATAGAGTATTGTGAGAATATACTGAGGAGGCAGGTCAGGGTTCCCTCAGGCTTGATGGCCAAGCAAAGCCTCTCAGAGGAAGTGACACATGGGATCAGGCCAAAATGACAAGAATGACCTGGCCTGGACAAGATCTGGGGCCGAGAAAGAGCAAATGTCCTAATGTGGAAACAAGTTTGGCCTTTTTAGGGAATGGAAAGGCAGCCAGTGGGCTAGCTATGGCATCCAATGTTGTAACAGAGGATTGGGTGAGGCAATCAGGTAGGAGCTTCAGGCCACGGGGAGACGTGTTCTTCTATTCCAAGCCATTAGACTGTATTCGGCATGAGAGTGGCATGATCTACTTTATACATTAAGATACCATTCTGGCTGATATACTGATCACCACTTATTAACTAAGTATCCTTGGACAAGCTACATTACCTTTCTTAGCTTCAGTTTCCTCATTTGTAAAGATGAGATAATAATAGTATGTATTACATGGAGTTGATAGGAGGATTCAATGAGGTAATGAATGGAAAGCATTTTGCACACTGCCTAGCACCTAATAATTGTTCACTAAATGATTTCAACTAAATCACTTTTATATCATTAAGACCATACTAAACACAACTGAGCATAATTCACTATCCCCAAGTATGCACCACAAAGACTAAAAATATCCTTTAAAATTAGTCCTGTTTCAAATTCTCTAATATTAAAAGGCTGGATATTTCCATATTGAAAAACACTCAGCACTTTCTTCTTACCTGATCCTGTTATTCAGCCCTGAACTACTGATGTGTATGTGCACACCCCTTATTTTCACACACACTAGATTATACATCTTTGTGTTACTCCCAGAACCCACAATGCTCAATAAATCTTATAAGGAAGGCATGCAGGTAGGTGGAAAAAATGGACTAACAGATATATGGAGGATAAAAATCATGATGACAAGAGAATAGAAGGGAGTGTTTTCAATTGAAATATTTAAAAGAATAAAGTCTCTAAGTGATGAGTATATGAAATGTATAACTGGTCATTTCTGGCCATTATTCTATTCATGCATTTACATAGCACTAGATGTTATGCTGAAACCCTAAGAGAAGACACTGCCTGACCATAAGGCCGTACTGCCCTCCAATCTTGCTTCATCTCTACTGAAAGTATTTAGCAACACTCTGAGAAACACGAAAGAGGTACTTCTCATATTTACCGCAGAACTGAAGAATGATGAGTGATAGAACCAAAATTGTGAAATCTGCTGCGCTTAACCTTTGTGTTGCTCCTGCATGCACCTCTGTTTGTCAGTCTGATACACGCCATCAAGAAAGTTGATATGTAGAATACCAATTTCTAGGCTTTGACTCAAAGATCCACAATAGTTGTGGAAACATTTGTTCAGTGATCTTGCATCTAAATAGGCAAATTGTTTCTACACACTTGACAGTATGTAATGGATGAAAAATGATCTGCTATCCAAATATAGAGGGCCATAGAAATTTAAAAAGTTACTGCTGACTTAAATAAAGTTAGTATAAGAATAACTAGAAGCAGAAAATAATATCCTTTACTGGAGACTATTCTGTGATATACAAAGTACTTTTCTATGCATTATCTTATTTTGATCTTCATAGCATCTCTCTTAAGAAAATTTGATAGTTTATGTCTGTGATTTATACATATAAAAAGTAACACACTGAGTATATACTTGGTCCAAGTCTCCAAGTCAGGAAGTAGCAAAACCAGAACTCTAGCCCAGGCCTTCTTAGTGTTCTTTCTGCCATCCCAAACTAGTTCAACATGCTATAAATCATCAAATTCAATAAAAATAAATGTATCTTTATTTCTAAGAGACAGGCGAGCAGCATAAGTTGCAAGTAGCATTATTAACATTCTGCCTGGAATATTATAAATCCTTTCAAAAGGACAATAATCTCTTTATATAAACACAATTCTTCCCTGATCATTAAATACTACATATTCCCTAGCACCAGGTAACAACAAAGCTTTCACCTCTTGAATACATATGTGCCAGATTCTGTCGTATATTCTCCTCACTCACTGACTTCGATTCTTACAACAGTCTTATGAGGTGGTTATTGTCAGCATCATCTTTGCGGTCAGTATGTAGATGGGGGAAAAGGAGGCATGAAGAGGTTAAGTGTCCTGGCCAATGTGGCTCAGTTGGTTGGGCATCATTCCTTGCACTGAAAGTGTGCAGTGTTGATTCCTGGTCAGGCCACATGCCCGGGTTGTAAGCTTGATTCCCAGGCAGGGTGTGCAGGAGGCAGCCTGTCTCTGTTTGGCTCTCACATCAATGTTTCTGTCTCTCTCCCTCTCCCTTCCTCTTTCTCTAAAAATCAATAAAAAAATATTTTAAATAAAAAGAGGTTAAGTAACTTGCCCATGATCGTTTAGCTAGATACCCGTTCAGTGGCTCTTAACAACAATGTTATGCTGTCCCTTCAAATAGAGGCCTCTTTATGCCATTCCAATCTCTCCCCTATTAGATTCAACCAAGAGAAGGGAAGAACCTCTCATTTAAATTAATGATTCAAACTCCTCATATGCATGTCCAAGCAATATCAACTTGGAGACCACTGATTACACTTCATCTTCAAAGGGCTGGAGGACCCATATGTAAAGTGTCTGACGGAGCACCTGGCACAGCATACGCAGGTGACAATTACTGAGAGTCTACTATATGTCTGGCATTATGCTAAGTGCTTTTCTCTACATATGCACTCCATAAATGTCACCATTATGCTTTTATTTCCTCCCAGAGGATAGGCTAGGTCCAAATCCGTTTCTTTGGAAATTAGGCTGGGCAGTGAAGAAAATGTATTCCCATGAAGGCACGGACTGTCACTTCACTGAGTGTAGAAAGATATTGTATATGGGTTATAAGGGGCTGCTATTGTTCTGGCCTTGAAGAAACCCAGGTGCATGTAAAAAGGATGGAAGGGAAGTATCCATGAGAAGACTGAGGCTGTAAGCCAGAACCCACCCTCCCCCCATCTACAGACTTCCTCTCCAGGAAAAGTAATACTTAAAGCACAAATAAATTTAAAGTTTATATAAGTTCCTTCCCTGAATCCTTTTAAATACTATGCTTTCTTGACATTTTTCAAAGAAAAATAATTTATAAAAGAAACCTGTACTCACACATAACTCCTGGGAAATCCACATATTATGCAAAACAAACTCCACCAGCCTCCCCTCCTAAAACTACAGTTAGATTTCAAAATAATGCTAACTCATTCATTAATTCAACAAGAACTGAGCAAGAGCTATCATGCATACCTGGTATTAAATGAAGTAGATATAAAAACAAAGAACTCAGAGTCTAGTAAGCAAAACTGATCCCATGGAAACTAGCCATTCTTTAAAATAAGGCAATGACTATTTCCAACTTGCCCCAGTGGGTTCAAATGACATAGAAATGGTCATATGAAATACTATGACATCGGCTTGGAAAAAGCCATACCTTTTACAAAAGATGTGTGTGTGTGTGTGTGTGTGTGTGTGTATCTTGTGTGTGTGTATCTGTGTGTAGAGACACATACATATATATATTACATATGTCTGATAAAAATGTGAGCTATATAGATGTATTTTATATATACGTTATATACACATATACATACTAATATAATATAAAGCAAGTTCCTTCACAAAAATAAACATACTCAGCACCAGTGCACCTCAGAGTAAGACTAGAGATCCAGGATGTCTGCTGACTCTAGTGAATTATCCAAATAGATCCATAGCTCTCCCTCACTAATGTTCTTCAAATTCCTACTTGATTAATATATTACATCTAAACAAGAAAGATGTAGAACTACTTATAGTAACAGAGAAGGGAAATGGTGGGAGGTAGTGAATATACAACTAGGCAGAGTTCTGGGTTTCCTTGTACATTCCACAGCCAATATGAATGATATTGATTTTCAGATTACCCGCTCTTTTATATTACTCATACCTCCTTTCCCCTCTATTAGTGAAGAGAACCCAATTGTCTGTGCATTTGCTTGATTCCACTGAGAGGCCTGAACCACCGCTTGGAATATCAATCATTCTTTTAAGATTAGTCTCTGCTAAAAGCCTGCAGCGACATGATAATGCACTAACCTGTCTCCAGTTAATGGCAAAATAGTGGTTGCTTGAGAAGAAAACACAATGAAAGATACTCTCATGCGAGGGCTGCAAAATAAGAAGAGAGGCAGTTAAAACATGTTTAAAGGAAATAGTGATACAACGCAGATATATAGCTAGGGAGTCTCATTTAAAATCCGTCTCCCTGAAGAGCAGGCTTCTGTTCAATGGAACCCCCTCAGTAGATACACTAACTCTGCTTAACGTTACTGCACCAGTCATTTTGGATTCAGGCCGTGCTTCTCAGCATTCAAGCACTCCTCCATGACCCTTGGGGCCGTTTAGGAAGAGACTTACTAGAAAGATAAATTCTAGGTCCATGAAAAATTCTTTTGAGAAACTGCCTGATGTTCTACCCCATCTCCTTAAAGGAGACCAAACCCTGCAGAGAGACTATGGCTAGTAATATCGAGGGCTGGGGAGTAGCCAGTTTGACTTAATTACCCCTACATGATGAATTTCATAAAAAGTTATCCTGAATACTTTAGAATACTTAAAGAATGCCATGGGCAATGTGAAAGAGACCAACAAATCCCGTTTTGATTAGTCATCTTCAATTTTCCAAGTCTCAACAGTCATATTTCCATAGTCAACCACTGCCCCAGTGAGCTGCATCTTTTAAGCTTTAGGCAGAATGGTTCCTGTTTCTGAGACAGTCTTCGCAACCATTACTCAGATTGGAAACTGAAGGTATGAAGCGAAGACCTACAGACCGCAAGATCAGCATGATGTCCCATGCATATTTTGAAAGTTAATCTCTTCAGTAGTCACCCTTTATTCACTTCCTATGCTGTATCCTTAGTAACGGAGCAACCAAACTTGAGCTAGAAAACTGTGTATTACAGAAGTCCAACTTGCAAAGCAGACCAAATAAATAAGAACCTCACTTCTTGAAAATGTAGTGTTGAAATGACCCATTGCTCTCAATCAAAATCTATGTGAAAACTCTCTGCACACTCCTGGATTAAATCAGAAAATTTATAAACAACTCTCTTCTGCCTTTGACATTAAAGGGCATAGGGCCCTGTTTGTTTTTCTTTCTTAGACAGTTTTACCTCTGACCCTGCCCAGAAATGAGTGTCATACTTGATTTCTGAAGCAGGAGACCGATGATGGAACATGGACAAGCATACATTGTTACAGGGATAACTTTACGGCTGCCAGTAACTGAAAGCAAGGACTGCCTAGGCCTCTACAGATTGTTGAAGTTACTTGCAACATGACTTTCAAAATGTTTTGATCATCCGAGCCTGTTTTACAGACAACATTTGGGCTAACAAGACTGAAAGAAGCAATATTTAATGATACAGCTCCTTTTTGTGTCCTTTCCATTATCTTGATAAACTTGCATTTGCTCATTGCATGTTTTTCTTTACAAAAAGAAAAATGAAAGGGGAAAAAAGCCTCAAAAGCCTGGTGTCTGGAGGCTACGTTTAAGTAAGGGATGCCACTAATTCCTAGTTACCTCTAAATAAGAGGGTGAGCTGGACTGCATAGTAGTTATGCTTTTTATAGGAGAAGAAACCAGTCTTTCGTAGTAAGGCTTATTGCATATACAGAACAGTTAAATTTTAAACGCACCACACACCCACCCACACATTTTGTAAACACAAGTCATTTCTTTAAACATCCACACAAGTGCCTTTTCTGGTAGTAGGTTATTAACACATGTTCATTTGAAGTTTACCAACACTTTTTTTTTTAAAGGAGGACCTCTATAATGCTAAGAATCGTGTGGAAAGGAAAATATATTATGGATACTATTAGCATAAAAATTTTAATGTGATAAATTATGAGAAAGCATAACTGAAATCCGTAACAGATGAAAATTCAAAAAGGAAAAGACATGTGGAATAGTATTTGAAGATGCTTCCCTGAGGCCTGCGCCAAGTTTCTGGGGTCCAGATGACATAAGCCCTCCACAAGTGAAGGTCTGTCCTAATAAGAGCATGTGTGTAATAATGATCTTGAGGCTCTTTCACATCCACATTTCACTGAAGGCTTTTCCTGCAAAAGGTTTCCCAAAAAGGGGTGGGTGGATACCCTGCATGTTGGTCTACTTCCCTCAACTTCACACTCCAGGCGCTAGAAAAGTAAAGTGGGAGAAATACCTCACAAATCGTTCTGTAAGTTGCTTGACAAAATCGTAAATTTCAAGCCAGTTATTGGCCACACTCCAAGACCTGAAAAAAAGAAAGAAAGAAAGAAATAGAACTAATCAGAAAAACAAACATGCACTTGGGGCCGCTGCTAGAATCAAAGTAACAACACCAGTCATGAAACTTAGGTGCTGCAAGAACTGAGAAAGTCAACCCATCTTTGGGGACTACCTGCCTGCTAATAGTTTGGAGCAGGACCCCAGCTCTTTAAAATAAACACAGCCCTCTTCCCAGGACATGCAGACCACTCAGGGTTTGTTAACCCTGGGCACTTCCTAGGACAAAACCAAGCAAACTTTAGCCAGAGTGACGGGGTGAGGACAGGGAGGCTGACAGTCTGGTGTGGGTTCCAGGGGCACAGAAGGCTATCCACAGTGGCCGCATTTCCATTTCCCAGAAGGCCCTTGGACTGCACGCAGGGAAGACCCCACTTTCCCAGAGAGTCCTGCACATCAGGACTGGCTCCTATCACCACCCCCAGCCCGCAAAGATCCCAAAGCGCTGGCCCTGTGCCCGGAAAGAGCAACAAGGGAGCCATCCACGGGTTGCTCACTCCCCTCCCCAGGGCGCGCACACATCTGTGCTCCCCGGCCACAACTCACCCCATGCCACCCGCACCACAAGACACCGGACCCCCTGGGCACTCACTTGTCCAGGACAAAGTAGAGATCAAAGGCGCCTCTGCAGCTGGGCTGCTCCTGGGCGCTCAGCAGCC